TTTGAACCCACCAGACACACCCCATCAGAGAACGATGGGGCAACTTGCTTCCTCAGAAGCCCTGTGAGGCAGTTCTGTTCTGTCTTACAAAGTCACTAGGTGTTCTCATTGAATTGATTCAATGACAACAAGTTTTTATGCCTCCTGAGACTGAAAGAACCAAGTCCTAATTAATGCTACCTGCTCCCCTCTGTGTCCTATGGTTTACCTGCCCTCTCCCTCTACAGAACTATTGCCCCAAATCACGGACCTGGTGGTCATTCCCTCAGGCTGCCTACAGTCAGTCAGGGTGGGCTGCCATCTGGGCCTGGTCTTTTGTCCTTAGGTTGGCTGGCTCAGGGGTGACTGTTGGTAGTGCCGTCCTTTTTGGAGGATGGGGATGGCGAAGCAGGTGCTGAGCTGGGCCTGGAAGGCTGAGCCAGAGCACTTTCCCCACATGAAGTAGAATGGTCTTCAGTACCTCAGCCCCAGCCAGGAAGAAAATCCTCTGGCATCTTTCTCATCTTCATCTGCTTGGGAGGCAGCCTGACTTCCTGCCCGGCACCTGCTGACTTGGACCCCTTCTGGGTTCTGAGGATGATTGGGGCCCAGACTGGAGCCACACATAGGAGGCAGCTGTGAAAGGGTACATCACATTGAGAGGCAATAAGAAAGAGACAGAGATACACACACAAAGAATTAAGGGCGTGGAAACTTCTGAGTTTCATTCCCAGCCCTTCTAACTGGTTGTGAGACTTTGGTTTCCTCATTTGGGTTAAAAGGAGGCTATGAAACACACACAGCACACAATAACCTCTATTTTAGTTATTGTTGTTTGGAGTCATCATTTGCCAGCTGACTTTGGGTGGGTTCTTGCCTCAGTTTCCTTCTCCAATATGGGATTACACTTTCTCACTCGGAAGAGACTGCAGGAAAGACAGGAATGATGTATGTATGTTGTGTCTGTGCACATGGGCAAGGTTATCATTAATTCTGAATCCATTTGAGTTCTTAGTTCTATTATTCAAATTTACACACCAACCACTAATATTAAAGATGAAGAAACTAAAGATTTCTCCCAACTTCTGAGGTTTGAAATTGATCAAACATGAAATCAAAATGCATTAATAATTACTGGTGACTGGAATGCCAAAGTTGGAAACAAATAAGGATCAGTTGTTGGAAAATATGGCCTGGGTGATAGAAAGTCCTGGTGTGGTGCTGTCGACCAAAATGTCGGTTTGAACCACAAGGTTGGCAGTTCAAACCCACCAGTCTCCTTGGAAACCCTATACAGGGTCACTATGAGTCGGAACCAACTTGAGAGCACTTAACAACAAGGAGTCCTATGCAAGTCCAAGCTGAAGCAGAGGAAAATTAAAAGTCCACAGAGCCAAAAAACAACTACATCCTGGAGCACATCCCATCTGAGTTTAAAGACCATCTCAAGTATAGATTTGACTCATTGAACACAAATGACCGAAGACCAGACAAGTTATGGTCTTTGACATAAGGACATCATCTATGAAGTAAGTGAAAGGGCACTAAAAAGACAAGAAAGAAAGAAAAGATCAAAATGTATGTCAAGAAAGACTCTGAAACTTGCTAAAGTGAAAGGGAAAAAAGGACATAAAGCAGCTAAAGTGAAAGGGAAAAAATGATGAAGCACAAGAGTTGAACAGAAAATTTCAGAGGATAGCTCGAGAAGACAAAGTATTACAAATGTGCAAAGACCTGGAGTTAGAAAACCAAAAGAGAAGGCTATGCTCAGCATTTCTTGAGCTGAAAGAAGCAAAGAAAAAATTCCAGCCTCAATACTGAAAGATTCTATGGGCAAAATATTGAAGGATGCAGGAAGCATTAAAAGAAGATGGGAGGAATACATAGAATCACCGTATCAAGTAGAATTAGTCAACATTCAACCATTTCAGAAAGAAACATGATCAAGAACCAAAGGCACGGAAGGAACAAGTCCAGGCTACACTGAAGCATTGGTGAAAAACAAGGCTCCAGGAATGAACAGAATACCAATTTAAATGTTACAACAGACTGATGTAGCGCTGGAGATGTTCACTCATCTAGAAATTTGGAAGACCACTGACTGGAAGAGATTCCTGTTTGTGCCCATTCCAAAGAAAGGTGATCCAACTGAAAGCAGAAATTACTGAACAATATCATTAATATCAGAGGCAAGTAAAATTTAGTAGAAGATAATTCAAAAACAATTGCAGCAGTACATGGACAAGAGTTGCTAGAAATTTAAGCTGGATTCAGAAGCGGAAGTAAAATAAAGGATATATCATTGCTGATGTCAGATGGATCTTGGCTGAAAGCAGAGAATACCAGAAAGATGTTTACTTGTGTTTTATTGACTGCAAAGACATTTGACTGTGTGAATCACAACAAACCACGGGTAACGTTGTGAGGAATGGGAATTCCCGAACACTTAATTGTGTTCATGGGAAACCTGTACATAGACTCAGAGGGAGTCATTCAAACAAAACAAAGGTTACTGAACGGTTTAAAATCACGAAAGAGGTGATCAGACTAGCATCCTTTCATCATATTTATTGTATGCTGAGCAGGTAATCTGAGAAGCTAGACTGTAAGAAGAAGAACAAGGCCACAGGATTAGAGGGTAGCTCACTAATAACCTGTGATATGCAAATGATACAACCTTGTTTGCTGAAATCCAAGAGGACTGGAAGCACTTACTGGTTAATATCAAAGACTACAACCTCCAGTATGGGTTACACTTTAACAGTAAGAAAATAAAAAAATTCTTACAACAGCATCTATAAGCAACATCATAACAAATGGAGAAAATCTTGAAGTTCCCAAGGAATTTTTTTTTTGCTTGGATCTACAATCAACACCATGGAAGCAGCAGTCAAGTAATCAAATGATGATTGCGTTGGGCAAATCTTCGAAAGACCTCTTAAAAATGTTAAAAAGCCAAGATGTCACCTTAAGGAGTAAGGTGAGCCTGATCCAAGGCATAGTGTTTTCAACCACTCCATACGCATGTGAAAGCTGGACAGTAAATAAGGAAGACTGCAGAAGAATCAATGCCCATGAATTATGTGGTGTTGGAGAGAATATGAAATATACCATGGATTTCCAGAAGAAAGAAATCTGTCTTGGAAGAAGTACAGCTGGAATGCTCCTTAGAAGTGAGGACTATGTCTTACCATGTACTTTGGACATGTTGTCAGGAGGGTTCAGTTCCTGGATAAGGGTGTCATGCTTGGTAAAGTGGAGGGTCAGTGAGAGACCCAGTGGTTGGATTGACATGGTGGCTGTAACAATACACTTAAACATAGTAACAGTTGTGAGGATGGTGCAGGACTGACTGGGCAGTGTTACATTATATTGTATATAAAATCTCTTATGAGTCAGAACCAAGCACCTAAGAACAATAAACACTGGGGAGGTTGGGACTGGGGGAAGGAGCACACAGTTCAGCAGTTGAGACCTCGGGCTGGAAGGTCTTGGTGGTTTACCTGGGCCAGGACTTGTTGCTGACTTCAGGGCTACAGGCTTAGTTGAAGGCCTGGCAGAAGCTCTTAGCTGGCTTACAGTCTCCTTCCTTCTGTGAGCATGGTAACTCTGAGTATCTTGGGTACTCACTGTACCTTTTAAGGACATCAGGAACTGTTGGCCTCACCCAACTCAACAGGAGCCAAGTCCCCTCTCTGGTGACTGGATTTCATCTTCTTGAATTGTTGGGGCAACTTGGAGCTTTCTACAGAAGGAGGAGACAGCTGGACAGAAAGTATGTAATGGTAAATCACAACTTCCTAGTAGTCCATGGGGCAGGACAAGGGCTGGGGCTAGGGCCAGGGCTGCTTGTCCACTGTCTTGGTTGTCTGCAGTGTGTGAATCAGGTCTAGCTAGGTCTGTGTGTTCTCTGCTCCCCACCTATCTGTTCTCAGTACAGCCCACCTGGGGCTGGGCATCCTGGAAGAACTAGCTAAGTGCTTTCTGGACTGGGTGGAATGCCCATGACTGGCTCCCTGGGGCACAAGCAGAGGTGATGGAGCTTTCTGACCTGGGGAAGGGGAGCCCTTTACAAAAAGGTAGCCCTGAGAGAATGAATGATGTCAGAGCTCCCTGGGTTGCTCAGGTGACTGCAGAAGGACAGAGCCTGGAACCTCCCTATGGTCACCACTGGGTCATGGAATTGCTTATGGCAGCTGAAGCCTGTGCATTTCCGATCCCATTAGGCTGAGCTGACCCTGCCTCTCCAACAGCCAGCCTTGGGCATGCTCCCCTCTCTCTTTCTCCTCAGGGAAGGGGCCTTCCTAATTATATCCCCCTCCGCTCACATGGAAATGAGTTTGGATTTTCTGAGCGTACACCAGCTGGCTGGGGGGGAGGCAGCCCAGAAGGCTGCTGGCTGGGGAAGGGAGAAGAAGGGAGGGGAGGGAGCCAGGCCAAGATGAAACCTTCCCAGTGTTCTCACTGGCAGAGCGCGATAATGGGGCGCTGAGCGCTCCCCACAGATCACGTTTCCTACTCCTTGTACTCTTTGGGGAAAGCATCTTGCTTGCTCTATTTGCGACTCGGCAGGGAGCCTGTGTCCACTCACGCCAGCCCCTCCTCGTAAAACCACAGCCCTCGGGTCCAAATCACTTAGCTGACCATTAGCGAGGTGGCTTGGTATTAGACTGTCTGCGTCCTCTGGCAGGTCCTTCCACGACTTCTAGGACAATCTTTTCCTGGGGTGGGGGAAGTGGAATTGAGGCCCAGAGTGGGGACGGAACTTGCCACTGGTTACTGGAAAGATCACAGTTCTGTCTTGCCCTCTCCGAGTTCTTCCGTAGAGTCGCCGAGGACAGGATGGCGAAGATTCCCGGGTGCAGGCACTGCGCCCCCCTTGGGCGGCGGAGGAGGCTAGAAAGGCGGGGGAGGGGCGGGGTGGGGTCAGGCTTGACTCCGCCTCCCCGAGCCTGGGTCTGCCTGCGGCCGGGCGCTGGTTCAGTCTCGCTCGCTCGCCGCTGTAGCTCCGGGGCCACGAGATGACACCGCCCCCGCCCGGACGCGCCGCCCTCGGCGCCCCGTGCGCCCGCGTCCTCTGCCCGCCAGCTCGGTTGGGGCTCCTGCTGCGGCTGCTGCTGCTTCTCTGGGCGGCCGCCGCCGCCGCCCAAGGCCACCAGAGGAACGAACCCCGCATCTCCGCCGTCTGGAAAGGTAGGCGGCGCCGCGCGGTCGGTGGGGCGCGGGATCGGTCGCTGCATGGGGCGGGTGCGGAGAGTGTGGCACCCGGAGGGAGTGCGTGCGCGCGGCTCTGCGGGTCCCGGGCTGGCCCCGCGGGGAGCATGTTAGGTTCGGGTGAGTGTGTGTGAGTGCGCGTGCCGGCACGCCGGAGCCGGCTGTAATTCTGCGGTGAGCGAACGGCGGGGGCCGGCGCCCGGGCTAAGTCGCTCCAAGTCCTCCCGCAGCCAGAGCCGCAGCGCCGGGGCGCGGGGGGAGCGGGCGGGCCCTTTCCTCGGCCCCGAGCCGCTCTGGGATCTCCTGCGCGGGGGCCTCTGTGAAGGCTGCTCTCCCGGTCGGGCCCCCAGCCCAGGTCCCCTCCTCCTGAGCTGCAGGCTTCGCTGGTACGCGGGGTGCAGGTTGGGCCGGGGAGGGGGGCGCGGACCCCTTGCAGCCGCTGCTGAGCACGGGCTGCGGGAACAAAGACCCCGCCGCCCGCCCCCGCCCCGGCCCAGAGCACGGGCCAGGCAAGCGGGTGGATACCCTGCAGCGAGCTGGGACGAGGTGCGGTGCGGGGCTTGGGGCACTCGGGCGCTGCCTCCGCAATGCCGGGACCGGCCGCTCCCCCCTTGTCCGCACGTGGCGGTTATCTCCCGGAATCGGTGCCAGCGTGAGGTGGGGGGCAGTGCCGGTGTGTGGGGTAGGACCGTTGGGTTCCCTCCCAGGCTACAGATCTGGGGCAGAGGTGCAGTCTTAAGACCACGATAAATATATGAATTGGGGAACGAGAGCTTCCCCCAGAGGTGCCTCAGTTTAGATCTCTGTACATTGGGGCAGAAAGTCGGCTGGGGAGGGGGACTTACTGTTTTCTGCCCTTAGGAACTGAGCTCTTCTCCCTGCATTGCACCCAAATGCCTCCCCCACCCTGGGGCCACCTAGGCTCTATCCCCAAATTTGCTGTTGTTCTGGCCTCCTATGGTGGTGGTGGACGCTTGACTGGGCTGTGCTGGCCAGTGGGATCTGGCCCCAGCCGGAAGCCCTTTGATGCCTGCGGTGCTTTGCAGGGATTGCAGACCTTCCAGCATTATCTGGGGCAGGTATTCTTAGCAGAGGGGGAAAAAAAATCCCCACACAAATGAGTGTCCCGAGCTGTTGCAGCATTGAAGGGAATGTGACTTGCCCAAGGTCACTGGGCACTGTGGGAGCTCATGGTACATACAGGTGGAGACACAGACAGTTGCACAGGATCGGTACTGATTCTGGGGGCTTTTAGGTGTTCCTCTGGCCATGGTGAGGGGCTCTGGGGACCAAGTCAGTTACCCAGCCAGAGTTGTTCCTGGGAGGCATGGGCAATGGTGTGGTTGGAACGCTGACCATCTGCTCATGGTACACACTTGTATACCTCTGAGACCTGCCTCTTTGCCAACTCCAAGCAGGCTTCCTCTAACCTCGCTGTCCATTGTCTTGCCCTAACACTTGGCACTCTGGGGGGAGACGACAAGTAGCCACATTTGAGTGTTCTGAAATCTTCCCTTGTATCAAGCCCCCTTGCATTTGGCTCCGCTCCCCTCCCCAATGTTCCCCCAGAAGACCTCCTCCCTCCCCGCCCCCACACGCCCACTTTAATGCACACCCACTTCTCTGCACTTAATGTGTACCTCACCATCTCGGGCACTTAGTCCTTATCTTGAGGCTAAAGCTACTTTCCATCCTCTCTCCCACTTTTCCAGGAATCCTGCTCTGGCTCTGTGGGTTAATGCACTGGGTTGCAAGGTTGTTTGAACCACAAGGTTGGCAGTTCAAGCTTACCAGTCACTCCTCAAAAACCCTATACAGGGTTGCTATGGGTCAGAACCGACTCAGCGGCACTTCACAACACCCAAGTTTCCAAGCTCCTAGCCTAGCTCCAGCCCCCTTCCCCTGCATGCTGGTCTCTGATTTAACCACACAGACCATGCCCTCTGTTCGGGGTCTGCCAGCTCCTCACCAATCTTGTTCAAGGGCAGCCTGTGGTTGCCTTCACTAGTGCCAGGCATCCTACTGGCCAGACAGGCCTTGTCATTTACCTGCCCCCTAGGGCCACCAGCTGGTGACGGTGTGCCCAGCTGACAGCTGCCTCCTGTCTCCTGTAGGGTGACACATGGCAGTCGGGCAGGAATGAGCTTAGACAGGGCAAGCCCAGGAGTAGGGGGGAAATGGAACCCTCCTAGGTCCTGGTCCTCCATTGGGTGGTGGGGTGGTGGCCTTCAGGTAGGACTCGTTCAAGGATGATGAGCTGTTTCTTTCTGAGACATAGATTAGGGTTGGAGGAACTTTTGACCTAGGACAGATGCAGGATCAGGAGTAGGTATGGAGACCTCTTCTCTTTTGTGCTGCTAGGGAAAGGTTCGAACCTGCTGCGTCTGGGTCCTAGCCTATACTTGGGGAGGTTAATGCTTTGCCAACTTTGATGAAGTCCTGGTCCCCCCCAGCTTGGGGCGGAGAGAGTGTGCCAGGCCAGCGTTGAACTGCCACATGCCCTTGAGTTCCAAACCTGTCTCAGCTGGGGCTCTGGAGGCCCAGCCCCCCCCCCCCCCCCAGGGCTGTTATTCTACCTGGGCTCTTCAAGGCTGTGTGCAGGCATACCTTGTTTTATGGAGCTTCATAGATACGGCCTGCTTTACACATTGAAGGTTTGTGACAACAACACTGTGTTAAGCCCATCTATCAGTGCCATTTTTCCAACAGCATGTGCTCACTTTGTGTCCCTGTGTCACATTTTGGTCATTCTTAACAAAATCTCAAACTTTTTTATAATGCTGTTCTGCATTGAATGGACTGAAGTGTATCCTCTACCGTTGTTTTGACTCAGACTCCTAACAACCCGACAGGACAAAGTAGAGCTGCTTCACGGGGTTTCCCAGACTGTAGATCTTATGGGAGCAGACAGCCTCACCTTTCTCCAGTGGAAAGGTTGGTGGGTTTCGACTGTCGGTTGTGTGGTTAGCAGTCCAAATGCGTAACCCAGGGCACCACCAGGAGCTCCTTGGCCTACAGTAGATGCAAACATAACTTTTATATGCACTAGGAAGCCAAAACAGTGCTGCCACGGTTTTTTATTGCAATGTTAGCTTTATTGTGGTAGTCTGGAATTGAACCCGCATTATTTCTGAGGTATATTTGTATGTAGGAGCCTGACCTCCCGGCAAGCAGTGGCTGAAGGGAAGTGGGCTGCAGGGGAGGATGGAGGGTTGGCAGGAGGTTGGGATGCCTATGTAAGCTGTACCTTGCCCTGATTTTATTGCTGGTTGAGGGAGATGGAGAAGGCTAGGACTGTCATGGTCCTCAAGACCAGAGGTGAGCCAGCCTGTCTACAGCTGGAATCTGACTGAACCCACAGCTCCAGCTTTCACCGCCCTGGCCAGTTCTTCTGTTTACCTTGTCTAATTAAACAACAGGATGTTATTGTTGACTTGGTGGCTGCTAGGGAGCCATTATAGGGCCCTTCCCCAGGGCAGGGGGTGGTTGTCACTTCCTCTGGGGGATGAGGTCACCACTAGGGCTCTCCGAGCATCAGCATTTCCAGTGGAAATCCTTGCCCCTTAGGGACCTGGGTGTACTCATCAACTTCAAGGTGAACTCCCCTCCAGAACAGAAAGGAGACGATTCCCTGGAGGAAGGGGGAGTTTCCTATGTTGGAAGAAATACTTAATGATGTCACCAGAAGCTTCCCGCTAAGCTCTATGGCCCTCTGTCCTGGGCAGTAAAGATTCTGAGAGCAGCTGGGGGAGGAGAGCATGCTGGTACAGTGGATGACCATGGCTGGGGGAAATAGTCCGGGGCTTGGTAGTCTCAGTCCCGATCCCAACTCTCGCCTGATTTGTTGTGTGACTTTGGCCAAGCCCTTGCCTTCCTCTGAGCCTCAGTTTCCTCAGATGCCCATAAAGAGTGGGAGAAGCAATTTTTCTTTCTGAGACTTAATACCTGTGGATTCCTGCCTCTCTAGGTTGGGAAGGGTTGGGCAGAGGTTGTGTGGCCTGTTTGAACTTTAGTAGATAAATTGAAACTGGAAAGTCAGGGGAAATCCTTGTGTTTCGTATTCTTTCTTATCAATTTCTCTCAAGGGCAGAAGCCCCAGGATCAACTAGAAAAGTGGGCTTATGACCTCAAAGGTGGACATATTCATTCATCAGACGTTTACTGGAGTCAGGTTTGTGCTAGTCCAAGGTTGAACCTGGGGATCCAGCATTCTAGATGCAGCCCTGCCCTCCTAGACTTCTCAGTGTAGATGGGGAGAGAGATGGGTGAGCAGACATTTACAGTGGAGTGTGATGGGGGCTGCAGGGACTGAGGAGACACCTCCTTCAGCCTACCATGTCAGGGAGGGCTTCCTGGAAGAGGTGGCAAGTTGAGATGGCAGAAGAAGAAGGAAAAGGAAAGGAACAGGAGGAAGCTCCTGGCTTGACAGGATTTCAAACCTCAGAAACCTGTGGCTAAGACTACAGAGAGGAGATGAGCCATGAAGGAGCATCCTAAGGAGGAGGTCTTGAGTCAACCTGGGCCTGAGGACCCCAGGAAGGCTTCTTGCAGAGGGCACATCTGAGCTAGGCCACCAGGGAGCCTTCATGCCAGCAATGTGTAGGCTCCTTACCTCCTCCTTCTGGGGGTCCATGGGCCTGTCCCCAGTTCTGCTCTGAGCACACCCAGGTTTCCAGGCTTGTGCCTGGTTACCTGCAAGCAACAGCAAGAGTCCCAAGCCCGTCCTGGGGAGCTGAATGTAGCTGAGAGTGAGCTCTTGTGATAGTGGCAGTATCGTGTCTCAGATGACCGGTTTGGAGAGATGGGGACTTGGCAAGGACCACAGTGGGCAGTGCTAGCGATGCCACCACCCTGTTAGAATTCCTTGGTGGGAAACTGGGGTTTTTCCCATGACTCTTGCCTGAGGGGGGTTTCTCCAGGTGAGGTGAACCACTAGCCCTTCCTCTGTTGAGGCTTCCTGTGCTGGGGTGGGACAGATA